CCTGTCCACGCCTCCGGCTCACTCCCCACGTGTCTGGCTCACTGTCCACGCATCCGGCTCACTGTCCACGTGTCTGGCTCACTGTCCACGCATCCGGCTCAATGTCGACGCGTCCGGCTCTCCGCGTGTCCGGCTCACTGTCCTCTGTGGGGTCGGTGGGAGGGGAGGGCAGCCTGGGAGAGCTCACCCCCGGCAGGCGCTTCTATGGGGGAGGTGCGGTCTGGAAGCCTGGCCTGTTTCGGGTTTTGTGGGGCTGGTAAAGGGGCTGGTGTGTGAGGATTTGGGGTCCTTGGGTGACAGAGCTGAGGGGAGCAGACACAGTCTTACCCGGAAGCTGACAGCCAGTTGGGTATCTTCCTGCGCGTCGGGGATGCTGTCACAGCAAACGCATCGTGTGGTTGAGAAAACCAGACGGCGTGGGACTGGCGGCGCTTCATTCTCTCTATTTTCTGAACGTGGCCTGTTCTTCCAGAGCAGAGGAGGGTCCAGGCTGGGTCTAGGGACTGCGGCTCTGTATGAGCTGAGTCTGCCCAAAGCCGCAGGAGCCAAGTGTGTGTCCCGTCGCCCGGGTGCTCCATGGGCTGCAGCTGTAGGACAGTCCCCCTCGCTGCCACGGGCCGGAGCAGGAAGGCGGGGTGTGTCCACCCATCTCTGGCTCAGTGGTCATGTTGGCGACCTGTGGACAGGCCTGTGGGAACGCTTGACCACGTTCACGTAGCTGGACCTGCCCGGGACCTCTAGGAAGGAACCAGGCTCCCGCCTGCATCCCGGCCAGCAGCGGCCTCAGTGCCCTGAGTGCGAGGACAGCAGGGTGTGCGGGGCCAAAGGTGCTCACCTGCCCGCCCCAGGGCAGCCCCTCCCCTCCCACGCCTCCCGCCCCGCAGCCCAGGGCGCCTGTGGCCTCACTCTCTCAGCCTCCAAAGGGGCCTGGGGTGAGGGGTGCCTCGGGCCTGGGGAGGCGCGGGGGCAGGACCCAGCCTTCCCAGGGGAAAAGGCGAAGGGCAGAGAGTCCGCAGCAGCTCCGGCCGCTCAGGGGTGGACAGGGGCTACGCAGGGGGCCTCGATGCAGGTGCAGGGCCTGAGCGTGACGCACAGAGGGGCTTGAGGCCTCGATGCAGGTGCAGGGCCTGAGCGTGATGCACAGGGGCTTGAGGCCGCGGGGCAGGTGCCAGTCAGCAGAGAGCCGCGGACAGGCATGGGCGAGGCCCCTCCGCGGTGCTTCCTGTGTCCCAGCTTCCAGCTAGAAGCATGGGAATGTCCCCTCAGCATGAGAGTGCATGGAGGGGACTGCCCGTCCCATCACTCGTAGGTTGTCGGGGCGCAGCGTCCCCTGAGGTGTGAGCACCACAGCTCTCAGACGAGGGCCTGTCCCCAGGCTCCTGCCTGTGGCAGGCAGTGCCGTGGGCTCGGAGTTCCTTAGAAGGCGAGACCCACGCTGCCCGCCTGGCTAACTGCAGACAGGGCCCACGCCAAGCCAGAGGCTGCACTAAACCCGTCAGGGCCCGGCTCCCCAAGGGGCTCAGGGGCTCTTCAGCAGCTGCCTGGACTGCCCGCCCGCTGTGCCCCTCCTCCTGGGAGGCCATCCTGTGACAACGGGGTGACCCAGGCAGCAGGGCCCGCGGGTCCTCCCACTCCCCGCTGGGCCACCTCCTCTCCGACACCCTGTGCCACAATGTGCCCCGTACACACGCCCCATGGATGCCCCCTCGCTGGGCAGCCAGCGGTGCCCGACCGCATGGGGTCCTGACTGACCGCGTGGGGTACCCTCACAGGCTGACACCCCGGGCTCTGTGTTTCAGGCTGGTTGCCCAGATCCACGATGAGCTGCTGTTTGAGGTGGAAGATGCGCAGGTGCCCGAGTTTGCAGGTGAGCCCAGAGGAGACAGGAAGGAAGGCACGTCCGGGTCGGCCCAGGTCTGCCTGGGGGTGTGCTCAGGTCCCCCTTCCCCGCCTCATGCTGCGTGTCACCTACACCCTGGCCACAGCCCCACGGACACCAGTGATCCCCGCGGGCCGTGCTCCCCATGGGCTGAGCTCCCCGTGGGCCGTGCCCAGCCACAGGCCTTGGAAGATGGGGCATTGGCCTCCCAGGCTGGGGCTGGGGATGCTAAAGGGGCTCACTGCTAGGCACCCACAGGGGTCCTGGGGAGACCCAGGTTCCTCCCTCGCCAGCTGCAGTATCGGCGGGGCCCCCACTCCGGCCTCGCTGTGGTAGACAGAGGACAGGCCCGTTGCCGGTCTCGGGCATGTCTGTCCAGATCTGTGTGGCACGTCGGACTTGGGGGCGTGGGATGGGTGCTCACTGTTAGAGAGGCAGCTCGCTCTGGGACCCCGGAACCAAGCTTGCTGCTCCCCTCTAGGGCCCAGGATGCCCCACGGTGACCCAGGCCCCCCATGGGGCCACCACTGGCGCCCAGAGCTGTCCTGCAGGCTTCACCTGGGCCTGCACCCCCAAGGGGCTCCTGCCCCCGCTCCTCCTCCTTCCTCTGGCCCCACAGCCTCAAACGGAGCTGCAGGCCTGGCCTGACCCCTGTCCGACCCTGCCCAGCACCTGAGGGCTGAGGAGGCCCAGCTGGGGAACCTGTGGGCGTGGCCTGAGGGGCAGGGGCTCCATCCCCCCTTCTCTCTCTCCTAGCTCTGGTCCAGGGAGCCATGGAGGCCTTGCAGCACGTGAGGGCGCTGGAACTGCAGCTGCAGGTGAGGGGCAGCGGGAACCGGGGGCCACACCCCAGCTGCCAGGGACCCCACGGGGAGGGCACAGTGCCCAGGGC